CCCAGCCCTCCCGCGGCGTCCCCCGCGCCCCTCCTCCCGGGCCGGAACCTGCCCGGTGCTCGGGGCCGGCTCACCCCCCGCCGCTCCTGCCCGCCGCGCTTCTGCGACATCGGCTCTCAAAAGCGACGTGAGCTCCGGCGAAGCGGCAGCCGGCTCAGCCGGGGTTCACGGGCGTGAGGACACGGCATCCGTGCTGGGATAAAGCGATTTTCACTTTCGCTACTCGCCCTGTTCCTTTAAATAATAAGGAAATGCCACAGGCTTCTTGTAAAGGCGAAGCCAGGCAGGGATTGCTGAAAACACAGTTGCCGCAGACAAAAATCTCTCTGTTGAATTGTTCAGAGAGTACTTTAACAGACTGAACAATGTTTCTTTTACTGCTCCAAACCTGACATTTTAATTGCACCGTTATCTTGGCCCTCCACTCTGAAGGAAGGGAAGGTGTCTGCACCAACAGGTACTTCAACATCATTCTTGCTCTGCCGTAGCTGCATTTGTAACGGATGAGCACTCCCGGCTGTGCTCAACTCACAGGGGCAGATCCATGTGAGGAAGGTGAAGTCCCCCTGAAGTGCAGGGCAGTCATAAAGCCCCAGGTATCTTAATAAACTGGATACTTCCCTATTTTTCTGGTTTCCCCAGAAGTTTGAGTCATCCAGCTTAGATGAAGATGAGGTTACAAAGTTTGCAAACTGAGTAAATATAGACTATCCTTTCAGGAAGATCTGGCTCACAGTTCACGCTGAAGGTGAGAGAAGCACGCTGCCTGGGAGTCCAAGAGTCAAACTGAAGTCTGCGCTCTGCCGCACGTTTCCTGGTAGGCTCCAGCACCATCAGTGTTACTGAAAAGCCTGAGCAGGACTTCCCTGCTGGGAAGTGCTTCTCCCCACCTCAAAGCAGCTTGTGTCTCCATCTTCCAGGCTACCCACACCTTTGCTTTTGCACATTGACAACTCAGTACCTGTGAGACTTCCCCACCCTAATGGTCACAGTGGCCCACAACTTGGGTGGGCACCCTCGCCAAAGTGTCCCGACCTCACCTGCGTCCCCAGACTGCGCTGGGTCTCCCACACGCCTTACAGGATGTTCCCAGCCCCCTGGTTTCTTTACAAGCAGTCTTCCTCCGTCATCCAATGTGAGGATGCTCACCAAGCGGGTGTTCATGGAGGCAGCAGCAGGTGTGGGTTCAGTGATGCTCTCCAGCTGAGGGGATCCAAACCAACATCTGGAAGGCAGCCCTAGCCGCCAGGCAGTAAGCGATTAGAGAGCGAACTGCTCTCAACTGCTCCTTTGAAACAGCACAATCTTGCATTAACTACACGTCATGCAGTTAAAGAAAAGGAGTAGAAATAGGGACTCAAGCAGAGACTTGGTGCGGTTGCTTAAAAAGAGAGCACTGGGCTCCTTGCTGCCATTGTAGCTTATGCACAGCTGAAATAAACAGGACTAGAAGCTGCTATTTTCATAAGGTAGGGGAACAGGTATATTCTCCTGCAATGAAATCTATAAACCATTTGGACAAAATACTTCAACAGCCCTTCAGAGTGATCTGCAGGGAAAGAAAGCCTCCTTCCACAGAGGGACTTCGAGCTGACCCCACACGAAGCTCTTGTGCTGTTCCAGGAATAACACTACTGTTAATGGCAACTGCACACGCAGCAGCAGCATCAAGTTCTGAGCAGCTTACCAAGAATTTATTAGTATTGAATAAATATCTGCTTCATCAAATAACTCTCAGCAGCTGTAGGTTTCCAAGATCCCATAAGCATGGGACAAGTCAAGGGACGGTCCCCGTGAGCCGGAGTAGAGTCTGCTCTTGTTCAAAGTGGCAAAGGAAATGAAAAGGCAAAATTTGCTTGTGGGAACAAGTTTCTGCTCAGTATTAAAGCTATCTCTGGTACATCTGTAGAAATGCCTACACAGTAATTCCAGGTAACGCAGCAGTAAAGGCACAGCGTTTCTATGCAGGACAGAAAACAAGCCCAGAAAGCAGTCTAGTCAGCTGAGTTTACATTTTATAATGGCAGTTTATCAGCGATTTTTGTCTGCACAGAAGCAGCCTACACACATGCAGCCTAGAGCTGCTGAACGCAGCTCAGCACAGCGTGGCTCTTTTGAACCACACAAATCACATCTGGGTTTCAGAGCACCAGGGTGCCCAAGCTTCCAAACAAGACGTCGGTGGGCACATGAAGACTTCTAGAAGAGGGGCTTCCCTGCACGCTGTTTGTAATCCCCTTCGTTCAGAAACTGCACAAAGGAAAAGCATGCGTGGATACTGCTCCAATTTGCAAGTTTTTCTTGGGTAGGGATGGCCCACCCTGAGGAGTGATAGGCGCATCGCTGACAGTAAGCACTAACAAACAGCGAGATGTTCTGCCTCACCCCAAAAAGCCAAGAAATTCAAACTCAGTCTGCAAATGTTCCCAAGCATCCATCACCATCGAGCTGTCTTACAAAATTCAAAGGCTATATAAAGAAAAACTACCAGACATTTCTTGATGCAATACCAATTCGCCTCGAGTTAAAAATAAGAAGTTTGGAGGTTGTGACATTTCAGTAGAAGCCCGATTAGACGCTTGTCTTGCACAACACTGCTGATTTCTATGAAAAGTTAACTGAAGGACAAAAGGCTACGGGAATGGGAAAAAATGAAGTATTTTGTGTATTTCTGCTAGTGGGAAGAACAGATCCCAGGCATGGCGAGTTGCAGGTATCCACTTGCTCTAGAAATTTTTAATAATGATTTGAGAAACAGATGAACATCCATGTTGAGTTGAGCTCATCACAGAACTTGCATTTAAAGGGTCCTCTGACAAATTCCATTGCCTCTTGGCCATAAGTAGCCATCAGAGATTTGTAAATTCACTGTTTATACACTGCGTTTGAATCTTGATTTTTTTCTTTATCCTTCCGTGCACTATTTATTGGGGCAGCATTTCCAGGCACATTTGTTTTCTTTTTCCACCCAGCTGCGGTTGAAACCAGGACCACGGAACAAGGGCCAACTGCCCTAGCTCAGGGCATCCACTCCCCCTTCCTTCAAATCCCACGCATACCAACCGTTCTGCAATTTCTTAACACTAACATGCACTGTAGGGTGAATTCATTAACTCGCTTATGAAGTCTTAATCCACAGTGCTCCTTAGTTCTTAAGGCATTTGTCCTGCGTTGGCCATTTTTGATGGTACCTCTTCAGAGATGTGCCTATTGCTAGCTGTTTTCTGTACCTGCCTATAATTATTCACAGAGAATAGCAGGGAATCTTCCTATTAACACAGAAAATGTTCAAATACTATAATGGTAGCCATGCAAAATCTTGCAGGGGTCATCTTAGTCTAGGAAGACTCAGACTAAAGAGCATCTGTGGATCTTGGTGAAGAAAGCCATGGTGGGGATTTTCAACGCAGCACAGAGCATGCGTACTCAAAGCTGCTAGAAGAGCAAGTTGCTGTGTGAAACACCGTCCCAGTCACACGTTCCACAGCTCTGCCGCTCCAGTCCCTCTCACATCCTGTCCTCTCTTACATTAGATGCTTTGTAGCCCTGAGATTAATAACAGTTGTGAGTTCAAAGGCGGTAAATGGAACTACTTCAGTTACTCGAGCCAAAATTTAACACAGATGTCTTCTAAAGTACACTCACTGTTCAGTCACCATCTATTCCAGGATTAGAACTGACAACATTAGCTGAAACTTTGATCTTCCTTAATTGATTTAATTTACTTTGTATAAAAACACACATTTGTATATACAAGAGTGACGGGAAACAAGTATTTACATATGATTATATATACAAAGTCTCAGTATAGATGCTCACCTTTACAAAATAAATGATGCTAAAATCTGTCACACGTTTTCTTGAAAATTTTCAGTCTCTTAGACGTTAAGTTGGACCCATCTTCTTACCACAGTATATTTCATTAATAAAGCCTCTAAAAAACCTCTCCATTTACTGTGTGAGAAATAGGTTACATGTCAGACGTGAGTATTTACTGCAAGCACATGCAATCTTAAAACAGAAGTAGTTATGAATGGTTAAGGCACAATGCTCAATTTAGTACTTCTGTGCGATCGTCTAGATACTAATGCATAAAGAAAAAAAAAAAGCTAGCTAGCTCAACTTAATACCATTTACTGGTAGCCTATAATGATCTTTAAAGCTCAGTCAAATGTCACAAATGCATACATGACCCAAGTCAAGATCCTGTAATGTGTAGAAATATTGTCCAGGAAACCCCCAGACTGCCTAATTGGACTACATGAAACGAAATCTCAGATGGTAAGATGCAGATGGTCGAATCCTTGTTCAGAAGAGCACACTGCAAGTAAATATATACAATTACTAAAAATCCGAGTTTAAACAAACATGACTATAAATAAGCCCAGTTGACCTACGTTCAGAAAAGGTGGACTAGCAGGGACCAATGTCCCATTTGTGTGTGGATTTTCTAAAAACTGTAACACCGCATCAAAGCTGGCGTTTTCAATATGCTCCGGTGTGAATTTCTTTTTAATTTATATATTAAAAAAAATAGCCACCCAATTCAGTAACAAATGAAGGTGCACGCTTAATGTAAACGAGCACTTAGTGGTTTACTAAAAGACTGCCCACATACATAAAGCATGCGCACAACTCTGAGAAGCATGAGGACTCAAGCTAAATGCTGTAATAAAAGAGCAAAAAAATGAGAGTTAATCAGCAAATATACTTGCTGGATATCAGATGCTACTGGTATGTGTAGGCTTTCATATACCATCAGTGTGACAGTAAAAATAGAAATATTTAAAAGGACTGAAGACTAAATAATGAAGGAAGCTCCCACGTATAGCACTAAAATTAGAGGAGAGATGAAGGTTTAAGAAAAAAAGACTGAGCACACTGAACAAGAATACAACTGAGTTTCCCATCTGAAAATACTATATGAGAAATTCAGGCGCTGAGAGTAATTTTCCTCCGTCGAAGTGGGTAGCGTCTTCTTTCTGGTGAATCTGCAGCTTTTTTTCTTTTTAGCAAAACACAAGGATTTTTACTGGTAGCAGCGTCTGTTGGTGTGACTTCTACCGCTGATGTGAAATTTCGGACATTATTTTCCTCCTTCGCCTTGCAA